TGTGTTGCACATTCTCTGGGTTTCAACAAATGTATAATGGCATCTATCTATCATTATAGTGTTATACGAATAATTTCCCTGCCTTAAAAATTCCGTACATCCTTCCTTCCCTGTGAACCCTTGGCAACCACTGACCTTTTTACTGTCTCTATAATTCTGCCTTTTCCAGAATGCTATACATTTGGAATCATACAGTATGTAGCCTTTTCAGATTGGCTTCTTTCACTTAACAATGTACATTTAAGGTCTCTGCACATCTTCTTACGGTTCGATAGTTCATTTCTTCTTAGCACTCAACAATATTCCATTGTCTGGATATACCACAGTTTATCCATTCACCTACTGAAGGACATCTTGGTTGCTATCAAGTTTTAGCCATTATGAATAAAGCTGCTATAAACATTTTGGTAAATACCGAGGAACACAATTGCTGGATTGTATGGTAAGAGTATGTTTAGTTTTGTAAGAAAGCCCCAAGCTTTCTTCCAACGTGACTGTACCATTTTGCATTCCCACCAACTATGAATGAGAGTTCCTGTTGCTTTACATCATTGCCAGCATTTGGTGTTTAACACATTTTGAGTTAAATCTTTTGGATTTTCCATGTAGAAAATTATATCATCTGGAAATAGCAATTTTTCGTCTTTCTGATTTCTATACCTCTATGTTCTACTCTTAGCAAATCACATTGACAATTACATGCACAAAAATGTTAAATAATACCCATGAAAATGGACAAATCTTTCTTGTTTCTTACTTTGAGTTGGGGAAAGCTTATCCCCATTAAGCACGATGCTGCCTTTAATATTGAGATTAATGTATTTTATCATGTTAAGGAAGTATATACGTATTCCTATTTTACTAAGAGTGTTTGCCAAGATTAAATGGTTAAATTTTTCAGCCATTATAGAGGTTATCAAGTAATTTTTCTCTTTTGATCTATTAATATGATAAATTATATATATTGATAGATTTCTTAATATTAAACCATTTTTGTATTTCTGGAAGTTAGCCATTTTTTAAAATCCCCTTGAATCCGTCATTCGTACATGAAAAAACTTTCTTATCTGAACCCCTATCTCTAAAAAAATGTTAAACACAGAAATATGAAAAAGCTACTCATAAATGCTCCTGTTACTTCAACAGATCCAGTTTCATCTGTATATGAAAAACCCTGGGCCCCTTTGGCTAGCGAGGCATAGACAGATGGCCCAAAGGAACACTCCTCTTCACACGCAGACTATCAATTATGAATATGGAGCTTTGTTTAGCTATGGTCAAACAAGGTGGGTTCTTTGCCTGAAGAACTGCCCTGGGCCCTGGGAGCTATGGCACCTGGAATCTCCTCAAGTGAGTCACCCCTACCTCCTATGGTCACCAGTTAATTCTGTTAATGATCTGAGATCTTTCTGTTTCTCAACTTCTTTCACAATCCTGGAGGCCCAAGGCCAATACCCCTCGTGAGGGCATAAGGGACTGGGAAGCCAGGAACACAGGTCAGAGTCACCTGGGCATAATGTGTTCTTTGAGTTTCTTCAGAAATAGTTTTCTGGGCTCAGCAAGAAAATTCGTACTCAAGTGAAACGGGAGAGCTCTGCTTCTACAAATCAGAGTCCTGTGATCACCATCTACTGCTTCATTATGTCTCCAGATCTGTCTTTAACTTTGATGCTGTTTTCCTAATTCTCTTTTCCTGGCTTGGCTGGGCCCTTGACCCTAAGTCTCTGGCAGCACACCCTGGCTGGCTAATGGGTGTACTCCAGCAGGCTCCAGCCACTCGTGTCACAGATACAGGCTGCCTAAAGACTCCAGCTGGTGAGTCCCTGGAATGGGTCAGGGTTTAGCTGAGACTAAGCCAAAGGAAACAACACAGGGCAGGTGGCATCGAAAAATTTTGGGTAGAATCATATAAAACTACCAATAATCTTTTAGTTTTGACGTACAAAAAACAGCACGAATATATGGTTCGAACACAAAAGCTGCTTCTGAGACCAAAATATGTAGTCACAGAAGCAAATCTGTGGTGCCACCCAGTGGTCAGAGCAAGTAAACAGAGCTTGTTTCATTAATCATGATGACAACAGTAACAGAATAACATCTCTGGAGCTCCCCACTGCATACTGGGTTAGGAGCTTCACACAAGCGATAATTTAATGCTATTGT